ACAAGGCCGGGGGACAGAGGAGTGGACAATATGAGTGGGATCCATTTTTACAGATGCATATTAAACAAAGAAAATAAAATTATGGGGGCTGGGTATTTAGCTCAGCAGCATAAGAGCCTGCCTTGCAAGCAGGCAGTCGTGAGTTCGATCCCTGGTACCGATAAAAATGAAAAAAGACAAAACAAAACAAAACAAAACAAAAAAAAAACACCAAACAAACAAAAAAAAGAAAATAAAATTATGACAAGTGCCACTCATTCATTCAACAAACATTTAATAAATGTCTTCTTATTCCAGAAAATGGGATAGACAGGGAACAAGTAGAGTTTCAGCACTTATAGTAATGTAACATTCTGCAGTGGGCCAGACAAATAAACAGAGAAATTGTAACAACAACAAAAAAATTCTAGGATCAATGGGAATACTGACACTTTTTATACACTGTTTCCTCACTATACCAAGCCTTTCTTTTTTTTTTTTGTCTTTTTCATTTTTATTGGTTCGGGGATCTAACTCATGACTGCCTGCTTCAAGGCAGGCGCTTATGCCACTGAGCTAAATCCCCAGCCCCTATCCCAAAGCCTTTCAATGGCAGTGGTGGTGGTGATAGTGGTAGAGTTATTAGAGACTGAATCCAGGGCCTTGCAGGCAACTGCATCCTCAGACCTTTAAAATCCTTACCTTGAAAGATTTCCCTAAAATCTCTGTCTTGTTTCAGCCTTTCAAGCAGCTGGAATTAAGGGAGTGCAGCACCTTGCTTGTTATAATCTCTAAATATGATTAAAAATGGGTGTGGTAGCCAAGTATGGTGGCTAACTTCTGTAATCCCAGCACTCGGGAGGCTGAGGTAGGAGGACTGTTGCAAGTTCCGAGACCAGCCAGGGCTACAAAGTGAGCTCAAGGCCAGCTTGAACTGTATAGCAAGAGACCTTGTCTTTAAAAAAAAAAAAAAAAGACCAAAACAACAACAAAAAAAAAAACCCACCGGGTGTGGCATACATCTGTAATCTCAGCACTTGGGAGGTTGAGGCAGAAACACAGTTGTGAATTTCCAGGCCAACCTGGGTCACAAAGTAAGTACAAGGTCAGCCTGAACTGCATAGCAAAACCTTGTCTCAGAAAGATTTAAAAAAAAAAAAAAAAAAAAAAATTAAGCGATTACAACCTGCATAGTGGAGGGTGTGGTGGCACATGCCTATAATCCCAGCATTCAGAAGGCTGGGACAGGAGGATCACTGCGAGTTGAGATCAGCCTGGGCTACAAAAGAGAGCTCAAGACCAGCCTGAACTGTAGAAGGAGACCCTGTCTTAAACAGACAATAAATAAATAAATAAAACCTGCATGGAGGTTATGCCTGTCATTCCAGCATGTGGGAAGCTGAGGCAGGACAGTAAGGTTGCAGACAGTCTGGTCTAAAAGCAAGACCCTATTTTAAAACAACAGAGTAGGGGCTGGGGATTTAGCTCAGCGGCATAAGTGCCTGCCTTGCAAGCAGGCAGTCGTGAGTTTGATCCCCGGTATTGATTAAAAGGAAAAAGACAAAACAAACAAACAAACAAACAAAAACCAGAGTAGTGCTTACAGTCAGAAAAGCAGTGGTGGTTACTGGGGACTCGCAGGAAGGGGGAAGTAAGGCATTGTTTACTGGGCAGAGTTTCAGTTTTACCAGATGAGGACTCAGCAAGATAGGTGACACCCACTGCACACAGCACTATAAATGTATTTAAACCCACCCAACTATCCATCTAAAATGGTTCAAGTCTGACCTTATATATTTTATCACAGTAAAGAAAAACAAGGAAAATAATTTAGGCAGAGGTACTAATTAAATCCTGCAAGCTTCAAAGATTAGAATTTGAAATTTCCTAACTAGAACTTTTGACAGATACATATACAGTAAATCCTGGAAGGGGATTACTACAGATCAAACCCAGATACAGATCAAACCCAAAGCCTTCACACCAAACTACATTCCCAGCCCTTTGTATGTATGTATTTTATTTTTGAGACTACATAGTTCAGGCTAGCTTTCATCTCGCTGTGATCCTCCTGCTGGGTTACAGGTGTACATCACCACCACTCCTGGTCTATTACGTTATTTTTTATGTTATTTTGGAGATGGGGTCTCCCTAAGTAGTTGGGTCCTCCTACCTCAGTCTCCTTAGTGCTGGGATCATATTCATGTTATTATCATACCTGGCCATCTTTTTATTTTGAGACAGGGTCCCACCAAGTTTTTCTGGCTGGGCTGGTTTACAGTTGAACAGTTGAGTCCCTGGTTCTCTTACATGGCTGGGGAACATTCTTGATAGGCTTAGCAAAAAGCAGTTGTGTAGTGATGCTTTCTGCAACCAAACAATAAACTTACAGCGAATGTGGATCATCTTCCAAGAACTGAGCTGAACCCATTCCACACTGAGCTACACCTCCATCCTTTGTAGACTGAGATGGAATCTTGCTAAATTACCTAGGCTGGCCTAGAACACACGATCCTCCTGCCTCAGCCTCCTAGACTGCTGGGATTATAGGCATAGAACACCACACCCAGCAAGGGGAATATTTAGTTCTTAAAAATCATTCATCTCTATTCATTTCAAGCCTGTTTTTCCTTTTGCCTGCGATCCAAATAACTTATAGAGCAGAGATGTATTATCCAGTTGAAGGTATTTTAGACTAAGAAAAAGACACTCTATGCAAGTGTCGAATAAAGCAATATGAGACTGGCTTTCTTATAGATGGTAACCTACCGTTAAGTTTAATATGTACATAAACACTGTCTGGCACAGAGACAATTGCTGATGGGAACCTAACTGGACAAATGCAATGATCATGGAGGAGCAGCATCTGGTCAACTGTTCCTACTACAATGCTAAATTGCAGAGCCCCAAAACCCAATCTGTTCCTCTGTAAAGCCCCACTCATATATAAATGAACAAGCTCACTAACAGGTTTTAAAAACTGCTTTCAGGAAACTAAACAATACTTTTCAAGTACTTTTACATGAACATGAGACCAAGTGGACTACCCCTAGGTGAGATGCAGGTGGAGCTTAACAGCAAAGGGGCTTTCTATCCCAGCACTGTGGAAGGCTAAGGCAAAGAGGATCAGGCCAGCAGGGCAATTTAGCAAGGCCACCTCAATATAAAAAAGTAAAAAAGGGCTGGGGATGTAGCTCAGTGCAAACTCTAGGTTCCATTCTCAGTAACAAAAGAAAAGAAACAAACAGCAAATGAGGGCTTTCTTTTAGGAAGCCTAAGAGAGGCAAAGTGCTAGCTAGTAGCTCTCCAAACTAGCTTTGGTAGTTCTTCTGGGTCAAAGACATTTTCATTTGCCTGCTGATACTGGAGTGAATCATGTCTTTAAGAGTTTTGCCTTTGATCACTCTAATTTTTATTTGATTGTGCAAGGCTCTCCCAACAATCACTCTAAAAGTCTAACTTGAACACCACCATTGTTTTTTGTTTTGTTTTTTGTTTTGAGACAGGGTCTCAAACTTCGCCATTCAGGCTGGCCTCAAACTCACAGTGATCTGCCTGTCTCAGCCTCCAAACTGCTTGGATTACAAGGATGTGCCACCATGAAAACAACCCCATTGTTACAGGAAGAGCTGGCAAATGTCTAAGACAGGAGAATTTCAAAGCAAAGGAGTGCCTAAGCTCCAGATAGCACAGCCACCTACTGTAGTCCTACAGCAACTAATGGCTTAACTTGAACCATTTTGTTTAGGAAGAGTTTTCCTAAGTACTTCTTAAGATTTTTTGAAAGGAAAAAAAAACTCTAAGTTATTAAATTTCAAGAAGACTGAAGTGCAAATCTCATGTTTAAAAGCCTACCCCAAAGGCGCTAACTTTATATGTCATCCAACATCTATTTCTTTTATAAGCAAATAAAATATTCTTTGAAATACCGGTGGCTCTGCCTACAACTTCCACATTTTATAGCGTTATGAATGATATTGGGTACACTCCCTCACCAAAACAAACCTTTGAGTCACTCATAAACCAAGGTATTAGTGATCATTCACACCAAACAAAGCTACTTTTTGGACAGCAACCTGGTGATCCGCACACCTCAGTAGGTGCTATTGTAGTGTTAGCGTGGCAAAGTAATCCTTTCCTTAAAGAATACAAAGGCCAACTGTGTCCTTGACAAAGAACAAGATGTTTATAGTCCATCTTCTACATTTTAAATACAGTAAATCTTTAAAAACAGCGCAGGTTCCTCAACATAAGTATCATGAGCTTTCTATTCACTATTATTTTCCTTTCAAAGATACAATACTTTGCATTCACTCAGTATCACAAGGCTAAATGCAGTTTTTTCTCCAGGTGAGGACAAACTAGAGAGAAAAAATTTACCTCCAGTAAGCATGGAGAAAAAAGGCACCTGTCAATAAGGCACTCTGATCTATGAAAGACTGACACACAAAAACACTATGATGTATCTGTTTTCGTTGGTCTGCTCCCCACCCCCTCCGGTCTCCCGTTGCCGGCTGCAAACCTGACCCTTCCAGGGCTCGAACAGCTAAGGAGAAAGAAATCGCTCCTCTCGCAGCCCCGGCTTTTCTCGGTCTCCCGCAGACAGCAGGAGGAGCGGGGGAGCCGGGCCGGCGCGGGGCAACCCAGGCCCATATCCCGCGCCGCACCCGAGCCCCGTGCCGGTCTCGCCGCTAGGAGCGAGGCTGCGGGCTGCGCTGGTCCCTGCCACTCGGCGAAGCGGAGACCCGGCCTTGTGGGCGACGCAGGACAAAAACGATGCGCTGTCGCCGGCAGGAAACAGAGGGCTGCACCTCACGAGCAAGACTGGGTGCCTAACCGCCGCCCGGAGCGCGCCATTTCCAGGCCCCAGTCCTCCAGGCGCCTCTCCCAGGCCTCCGCGGGCCCGGCCGGGCCTCTACCCCTACCACCCCAGGTAAACAGCAAAGCCTCCTCCCGGAGACCCTCTCCAAAGCCGCCATTCCCCCAAGGCCGGAACGGGGTCCGCGCACCGCCTGCCTCACCCTCTGCCGCCGCCGAAGCTGCTGTAGGCCCGATCGTCGTAGGTATCGAAGTCCGCCATTTGCCGTCTCTGCTCCGAGAGGAACCAGGCTGAGTGAGGAAGGACCCCGTAATATAACTCCCCCCCGCCCCGCCGACGGGGCTGTCCGCCGCGCCGCCTGATCGCAAATCGCACGCACGCACGCACGCGCACGTACGCCGCGCCGCGCCCGGGCTGGGCCGACGGGCCGCTGTGGGCCCCGCAAGATGGGCGGCCCATGTGCTGAGAGCCGAGGGTGCTGCGCGCCTGTCTGGTCGCCGCGACCCATTGTGTGCTGGCCCCCCGGCTGCACGCGCAGCCGCCTCGTGTCCCCGCCCTGCCACGCCGGCCCTCTGCTCGGCTCTGGCCTGCGGCGCTTTCAACGGCAGTCTGTTTTTTGCACTTCAGACCTGGCGGACACCCCTGAGGCCCTGCTCCACTGGGCTCCACATACTCGAGCACATCTCTGCTGGCCTAGATGTCCCAAGTAAAGGCCACCTCCTGTCGGGAGAGGCCCCCACGGAGCTGGGTGCCTCTGAGGATGCCCAGGGTCAAGGGGGTGGACAGGGTGTGGGGAGGTGGGATGCAGACCTAAACCTGTCTTTAAGGATCTTCTCGCCTCTAGGATGCTGGGAAGGGGAGGAGCTGGAGTACGTATTAGCACTGAACCAGCGGAATTTCTATTATACTTTTGTAGAAGTCGTTTGGCTGGAAGAGGATTGAATCCTGTTATGCAGTCCATCTAGCAGGAGCAAAAGGGAAGAAAATGGAGCCCGACTTCGTGGTGCACGCCTGTAATCCCAGCACGTGGGAGGCCGAGACCCAAGGGTCATCAGGAGTTCAAGGCCAATGTGGACTCCACAGTGTGATCTTGTCTCAAAAATAAGGAAAAAATGGGTATGCAGTGAAAATCAAAGATAATGCTTCCGGGTATGGGTTTGCACGCACGCCTTTAATCCCAGCACTCCGGGTGGCTGAGACGGAATCGCTCTTTGTTCGATACTAGCATGGAATACATAGCTGAGTTTAAAACCATCTTGAATTACAACAGATTTGGGTAGTATGGGATACTCCTGCCATTCTGTCTGCCATCGTTGACAAATTGGGCCAATTTTGACCCAGAGGCATACTTTTGATTGATTGCCTTTCAGTCCAATCTCCATCCCCAGTCCCTTTTTGATTTCTACTTTTGAGACAGGATCTGAGTGCCTCAGTTGACCTGGCTGATGATCCTTCTGTCTCAGCCTTCCAGAATGCTTAGATTACAGAGGTTTGCCACCATGCTTGGTTTTTAGGGAGAAACAGTGCAATATATCATTAACAAAGTAAGAGGGCAGGCTTCTAGGAAAATTGGGACTTTCTTAGTACTGAGACCATCCATTGGCTGTCTCCAAACTCATAGTTTCATTCCCCTTTTACCCAGCTAATGCTATAGACCAGTCTATACAGGCAGGACTCCAAACCCCACTTCTTGCTGTAATGGGGATTGAGCCCAGGGCCTTCAAAGTGAACTACATGCATAATCCTCAGAGTCTCACCCAGTTGCTAAATTGCCAAAACTATTTGAATTCATAATCCTACCTCACCTTCCCAGAGTGCTGGGGTTACAAGCCTGCCCTACCACACCTGGCTCATTTTTTTTCCACCACTGTGTAGCCCAGGATGGTTTTGAACTGGTAGCAGTCCTGCCTCAGCCTCTCCAGTGCTGGGATTATAAGCATGCACCACCACACCCAGCTTCATTTCCTTGTTTTGGTCTTAAGCACAGAGCCCACTGCCCACTCAGGATTCAGAGGACTAAGGTCAACTCTAGAAAGTTCCATAAACATTCCATTTCCTTCTCCACAGCCATGTTGAATATGCTCCCCTTCTATGGTTGTCCTCCAGCATTTGTCCTAATCTGTTCCTTTCTATACACTGGAGATCCCAGCCTTTGCCTGTTGCCTGAGCCATGGGGTTGGCTCTGAAAGGCCTAACTCAGATACAGCACTTCTTCTTAAGAGCCTTTCTCAGCCAAGGGTGGGTGCACTCCTGTGATTCCTGTACTCTGGGAAGCTGAGGCAGGAGGCTTGTAAATTTGAGCCCAGCCAAGGCAACTTAGGGAATTAATGAGACCCTGTCTCAAATTTAAAAAGGACTAGGGATGTAGCTCTTTGTAAGGACTGTGGGTTCAATTCCCAGTACCAAAAACACAAAACATTTTGGACTGGGGATATAGCTTAGTCACATAGCACCTGCCTGGCAAGCACAATGTCCTGACTTCGATTCTCAGTACCAACAAAACACAAAACTACATTTTATTGTAGATAGCTAAGTTAGGTAGAAATACAAGCAGGCAGACTCCTTGAAGGAGTCAATTTGCAAAAGATGGAAACACAGTACAGACACTGGGCAGGCAGATCTGTTGGAGACCAGACCAAGATAAAGAGTGAATGACAAGGCCTACATACCTCCCCAAGGGATGAGTGGTAACACCTGGTCCAATAGTCTAGCCAGATGTCAGTCAGTTCATAGGATGATCAGGACCTTCAGACCTACCCTGTCCTGAAAAGTTCTTTATTCTTTCATGTACACTTGCTACATGACTTGTTTCCCAATTGGATCAACATTATGTAAGTGACTGTACTTATAATATTATTGGTTGGTCATAGTTTTGTCCTGCATTGTACCTGCCTTGTGATTTTGCTCTATAAAACTTCCTCCAGAAGGTGGATCTGCAGTAACCCACTCAGGCCTCTCCTGTTTCAGGAGCTACCTCTTCCCTCAATAAAATCTGCTATTCTTAACCTATGTTGTGCCTTACAACTCATTCTTCAATTTTGGGGAATGCAAACTCAGTGTATTGGACATCTAGCAGGTTGGGAGTTATAGTAGTTCCCCTATACAAACTGAATAAAGGTCTGATATCACTTGCAGCACCCAGTTAGATAAAACTGGGAGGGGTAAGAGTTTGCCTTTGTTTCATGGATTTTTTTTTTTTTTTATAGCGGGGATCAAACTCACGACCTTGTACTTGCCAGAAAGCCCTTATGCCACCAAACTAAATCCCCAGCATTTCATGGATTCTGAATTGTGACTTATTCAGGTAATTAGAAATTGTCATCCTTGTCTGTTAACTGCTTAAGACAGGGCATAAAATTTTGTCTTTTTTATATATTGTTTTTGTTAAGCTGATGATAAATTTAAGTTGAAAACCTGGGAAGATTATGATGTTACTTTGATGGGACATTTTGCTTTTGTAGGCAAGGTCTTGTATTCCTGTTTTATATATGCCACATGTGGACTTACTGGTTGATGGATTTATTTTAGCTCCTTGCTTGACCTGTTTGATTTGTTAGACAATAATGCTAAGAAAAGGCAATGTTATAACATACCCTTAGTGGACTTTGCTATGAAATGCTGTAAAATGGATCTTTTTATGAAATCTAGTTTATATTTAGAAAATGTACGTGGCTATCAATCACAGGACTCCATCTGCTATTTAAAAGGTCAGTGGCCATCCTCAAGACATAAAGGACAAGACTCACTGGGACAGACATGCCCAACCTCCTCTGCACTCTAGAGGGAATGTTGGGCCTGCTCTGCCTCAGTTTCCTATTTGGTCTGATCTTCCACTGGTGAGGAGGCAATTTTAGCTCTTGAGATTCCCTACGCTTATCTTTCCAGGATGAGGGTGATGACTTGTGCAACAGGTTGAATAACTCACCCTGAGTGTGAGTAGAAAAGATTGCCTTTTTCTGATCTCATTTCTGCTTTTCCCTGTCAGTTTGTACTTTCCTTTTTTTTTTTTTTTTTTTTTTTTTTTTTGAGGCTTGTTTCTGCTAAAGATTAGAGAGCGAGGAACTCTGAACTGTCTCAGTGTTTTTTCCCTCCTATCCAACAACTAAGAACCTTTAAGTCTATAGAAAATGAATGTTGGCCAGCACCAGAAACAGACACATCATTTTAGATGAGGCCCACATACCCCCAGCCTGTGGGTCAGATGAGACATCGGAGTTTTGCCCGTCCAGGAGAACACATGTGAAAGTGTATGCCAATGTAGTGTTCTGGGCAACAGCCTGTCTTGGGAGACCTGAGAGCCCACAGAAAGAACCGGCTTCTGGGTAAGATCAGAAGGAAGTAGGTATTTCCCCAAGCTGAGCACTTAAGGAGCCAAAACACATTTAGTGTAAGGGAGAACCCCCAGCCTCCTGGCTCTCTTTCCCCTCCTAGGTGTGGTTCTCATCATTTATGTGATAAGTTGTGGTTGCTGAATAATGTGTGAAAGTTGAGCTTCATAATTGCAGATATAGAGACATAGAAATTTTAGAGTGCATTTTGAGTAAAACAGCCTTGTCCTGCTGCTAAGGAATTAGATAGAGAGCATAAATGTCTCAGAGACTTCTTTGCCGTAAGGCCCAGTGCAGGGTTTCCCTGAGCCATTATTTGATTCTGTCTCTAGAAGTGAGTTCTTATTTAGGCTGAGAAGGCTCCAACCACTTCCACTTTGCCCTTTGATTTTTTTCTCCCTCATTTTCTTTCAAAAATTGGAAAGCAGTGGTTTGGGTCTCTTAGCAATGCTTCCTCCTTTAAATCTGTTTATAGCTGGAACCAATTGTAGCTGTGCTTTTGCAAACATGCTGGAGTTAGGAGTATGAGTTCCCAGGGGAGGCAGGGGTGTGAATTGGTAAAGGTGCAGTCCAACCCGACCTATCTTCTGGTCACTGTCTGAATGGCTGGAGCACTTTGGGGGATGCCTTGAGAGAAACCAAGGAGGGATTAGAAGGGACATGCGTTTTTTTCCTCTTGTGTTGCAGATGAAGTACTCAATGTCATATTCTCTTACTCCTTTGGAATGTTTCATTAAGCCCTCGAGATTTTTTGATCCTCATGTATTGAGAGAGAGCTGTTTATTTGAATCTGCATGTGGTCTGCCTACCCCTTAGTGGCAAAAAGGATACAGAGGGAGGTATTGATTATAATACTGCTACACATGTAGAATTGTACTATAAGAGAGGAAAAATGGTCAGAGTTACCTTCTGTCCAGACTCTCTTTGCATTAAGGGATAATCCTTACTTGTGTTCAAAGTGTAAAAGGTAAGCCAGCGTAAACCCGGACAACTCTGGCCCTTAAGGCACAGATGCTGAGCCTGGGGGTCCCCTCCCTTGCCCTATGGAACCCAAGCCTGAGGTTTCCAAGGCAACCTTGATCAAAACTTCATCCACTGTTACTGAGCCGAAGGTTCCCCCTTATTTGCTCTCAGTGACCTCAAACAGATCAAACAAGATCTGGGAAAGTTTTTAGATGATTCTGATAAGTACATTGAGGTCTTTAGGGGATGTACTCAGACCTGTGAACTAGACTGGAAAGATGTAATGGTAACTCTTCAATCAATCCTTGACTTCTCATGAGACAAGCAGCATTACAAGCTGCTATTACATTTGGAGATGAATAGCATACTGTTAATTTTAGAAAACAGGCAGCCAGAGGCACAGCTGGTTCCTACAGGAGCCCAGCAGTCCCTATGCAAGACCTTTACTGGCCTAGCAACTGGACAGGAGATTGGAACAGGCGACACCTTCAGAGATGTTTTTTTTTTTTAAAGAAAGAATTTATTTATTGCTTAAGAAATTCAGACCAGAAAACTACAATACAGTTATAAAGGAAAAACACTCCAAAACAATCCAGGGGTGTTGAGGGAATCTTCATAAGTATTATAGGTATCTAGCTTTTTCTAAATTTTTCTGATGGGGAATAGGATGAGGAGGCTCAGAATAAGGATAACAGCTTAGAATTTTTCAACTCTTTCCTGTTCCCTTACTTCATAGATGACAGCCAGCCATAGTCCTAAAGACACGACAACTGAACAAAGCTAAGCAGCATCAAGAAATTATCCCTAGGCAAGAAAACAACCCTATTACCTAAACAAAGAAAGAATATAAACTATTATTAACTGCTGCAAGGTAGGCACTTAAATTCACTGTGGTATCTCCTAGCTCATGACAGAAATGAACTAGTTTTTTTCTATGTTGTAGGAAATACTTAATCAGAAGAGTTTGTAAAAGCTAAAATATATGCAAAACAGTTGTTGAGACATATTATTATTATTATTATTATTATTATTATTATTATTATTATTTGGTACTGAGAATCAAACTCAAGACCTTGTGCTTGTCAGGCAGGTGCTGAGACATCCCTGGTCCAAGACATTTTCTTGAAGTCTAAGAAGGGCAAGAACTAAGTCCTTCAATTATTTTAAATTGTCAACAATTCGTCAGAAGAAAGATGAGAACTTCTCTGCCTTCTTAGATCACTTACAAGAGGCTTTGATAAAACATACGCCCCTGGCTCTCGATCAGACAGAAAGACATATTATTCTTTTTTTTAATCGGTACCGGGGATCAAATGCACGACCATGCACTTGCAAGGCAGGCGCTTATGCTGCTGAGCTAAATCCCCAGCCCTGACAGATTATTCTTAAAGACAGGTTTATAACCCAGTCAGCCTTGGGTGTTAGGAAAGATGGCTTTTGCTGCAAAGAGCTCACCTGATGCTTTGGTGAGACTTGCCTCTTCTGGATTTTATAATCCAGACCAGGAGGAGGCCACAGGAAGAAAACAGAGACCAAGAGAAAGTGGCTGCCTCTGCTGCAGACTTAAAAGGAATATATCCTAAGTCTGCTTCTTGGGGCTCCAAGAAAAACCAACTCATCTACTGCTGCAGAAAACCAGGTCACCTTAGGAGAGATGGTGGTAAGAACCCTCATGACAAGAGGCCCCCTGAGCCATGCCCGGGCAAAAATGACTACTGGACATCAGATGGCCCTCTGAGGTGAAGGCCCCAAGAGTCAGAGCCATCTTCCCAGCTGGTCCAGCAAGATTGAGGGGCCCTGGTGCACTCTCTGCCTTCTCCCCTGGCAAGACTGTCATCTCCATGAGTCCCGGGTAATCAGGACTCCAGAGGGAAAAAGAGACCAGCCATGGTGTGTGTCTCTCAGTCCTTCAGCCCTGGCCCTCCTTCGAGCTGTCATACCTCAGTGAAAGGAGTCACTGGAGAGAATGTAACTCACTATTTCACAACTTTTAGACTGTAACTCGGATGGCTTTCTTGTCACTCATTCCTTTTTAATTATGCCTGAAAGCCCAGTTCCCCTCCTGGGGAGAAATATTTTATCTTGTTTGAAGACTGTAATATACACACACCCAGGTCAGTACAGTGCCTACCCCTCACGGAGCAGAAATAAATCCTGAAGAGTGGGCAACTAAAGGCCAAATATGGGGCATCCCATTCAGAACCCCTCTGAGGTCTCAGGAGCTATTCCTACTACTCATTCTCCCATTCCTTTTCTCCAATACATTTTCCTGCCCTAAAATAAATAAATATAAATATGGAGAAGGAAGAGCAAAGAGACCTGCCCCAGAGCAGACACAGCTCAAAGATCCTACTACTTTTTCCCCACTGGAGACAATACCCTCCAAGACCTGAAGTTAAAAGAATTATTGTGTAAAATCAATAAGTTAAGGCACAAGGTCTACTAAATACTGCAGTAGCTCGTGCAACACTCCAGTCTTAGGATAACCCAGTGGAGTGCAGAGGTGGGTACCGGCCCCAGACTGATGAATGATATAGGAGTGCCAGTCTGCACAGTGGCATCGAACCTGCACATGCCCCTTTCTTGGATCCCAGAAGATGTCGGTCGGTTTTCAGTGTTACAGTTAAAAGATGCCTTCTTTTGTATTCTGTTACATACAGATTCCTGGTTTCTTTTTGCCTTTGAAGATTCTTACAACCAGGCCTCTCAGCTGGCATGGACTGTGCTTCCTCATGGGTTTAGAGACAGGTGGAAGGCACAACTTCACAGCCTGGAGGTAAAATACTTGGCTCTCTTATCTAAGGGAACCTGAAGGCTGGGGGAAGAGAGAATTAAACAAAATTCTTCCTACAACCCAAGACCCTAAAACAGCTAAGGGGATTCCTAGCAATTATAGGCTTTCATTGCCTTTACACAGTGGGATATGGTGAGATTGCACAACCCCTCTATCAGCTTATCAAGGAAACCTAAAGGGCAGATACACATATTCTAACCTGGTTCTAACACCAAATTCCAGAAGTTGAGACCTGCACTTCTAAATGCTCCAGCATCAAGCCTACTGGGCTCCCCAAGGGATAAGTGATAACACCTGGTCCAGTAAACCTTATTGATTGGTCATAGTTTTGTTATACATTGTACCCACCTAGTGATTTTGCTCTATTAAACTTCCTCCAGAAAGTGGAGACCATGGCAACTCATTCTTGTCTCTCAGGAGCTATGACTTGCACGTGATACTTACCAACCATACAACAGGTTAATGTATTTAATATAATGTTATCCTTGTTTTAGAGTGCAATCCTTATTGAAAGGTTCTTGCCTTAGTATAAATTACTGTACGGTTATGGTGGTGGTCTATTGTGGTGGAAGGCCAAAACGGGAACGCTTATCACTTCCTGCCTCTTCCTCAGCCTTAATTGCAACTCCCCTTCCTGTTTGTGCACGAAGAAAACTCCAATTGGCTCCTCATGCGTTGCTCTACGCACAACCCCTGTCAGAGGTTATATGTATATTCTATACCCTATGTTCTGGCCAGAGGGACCCAGGCTGTCTGTGGTTAAACACTCCTCTCCATGTCCTTGGAATAAAGACTATTTTTTACTTTATATTCTCTCTTTTATCTCACTGAAAACGTTCACTTAGAGAAAAACTTTAGCTGGATGTCGTTGTAATTCTAGCAATTGGAAAGCTGAGGCAGGAGGATCTCCATGAGTTCAAGCCAGGCTGGACTACACAGCAAGACCCTCTCTGGAATAGAAAAAAAAAAAAAAGGTTGGTTGTAAGATAGTGTGTGATGCTGTGTCTCAGCAGCCTCAGTTTCGATCTGTAGTATTGATCGGCCCAGTGGAGGGATCACCCGACAGTTCTAAGTACTACTTTAGAGTTCTGTTGGCATTTTACTGATGTTAATTTGGGGGGGGGGACTGTTAATTTATTATGTAAAATAAACTGGGCATGGTGGTACAGGCCTGTAACCCCAGCACTCAGGAGCCTGAAGCAAGATTACTGTGAGTTCAAGGCCAGCCTAAACTACGTAATGAGATCCTGTCACAAACAAAAGGACAATAAAGAAAGAAAAAAGTATACTGAGTATGATTTCTCAGAAACCAAAATTGGGGGACTGGGGATTTAGCTCAGTGGCTCAAGCACTTGCTTGATAGTTTTGTTTTTTGAGACAAGGTCTCCCCATGCAGTTCAGGCTAGCTTTCAATTTGTGACAGTCCTCCTGCCTCAGCCTCCAAAGGCTGAGATCACAGGGGTGTGCCACTGTGCTTAGTTTGTTTTTTGAGACAGGGTTTCACTAAATCCCCCAGGCTGGGTTTGAATTTGTGATTTTACCTCCATGGTGATAGAACTGTGGGGGACTGGCAGTGGCTGAAAAGATAAGAAGTATGAAATATAAATGACCTTTATTTTGAGAATATGGGGAAAGACACTCCTGATCCCCTGGGGTGCGGCATCTCCCCCGGGGTCGGTGATCTCTCCGTGGAACACGTGGAGTGGAGGCATATAAGTAGCCTAGGTTTGGGGTGGAACCTAAGGGGCATTAGTGATGCACAGGTAGCCCATTGGTATTCTTTTGGTGCCATAGGTAAATTCCTAGGGGTGGAGGAGATGGAGCTCCTTGGTTCCGCCTGAGGCTTTACTGGCTACAGTGTCCTGTCTGGGCCAAAACTCTTTCATATCCTGTTTTATGATTATTATTATGAAAAGGGTGAAGATTTCTCTCTTTACTGCTTCCTGCTGTAAAGGGGTGCTGTACTGGGGTTTAGGGGAGTTGATGGGATGACGGTTGATGCCCAGGTAGAAGCTGGTGCCAGGTGTTTTAGCCAGGACAACTTCACTGGTGAATGCACGTATGTTAGACTGGAAAAACAAAGAGACAAGATGTTATGAGGAGGCATGGCACTGTCATATTTAAGGACCCAGATGAGGTAGAGAGAAAGGTGCCTTTGATTTAGATATGTCATTATATCAGGACCATGTTGAGGTAGAAACATTACTACGGTGAGGCAGAATTCTGAAAAATAAATGTGGGGTTAGGAGGAGTGAAGTTATGAGAGGTGATTACTCACCCATCTGAAAGGGTAAAAGTTAAGAGGGTAAGGCTTGTCTCTGGTATGCATGATGTTGGAGTCTGTAGGAAATACTGTTAAGAGTCCTGTTGTAAAAAGAATAAGAAATTAGAAACCAAATTGGAAAACAAAACATGATAGCCTGAGAGTTGTAGCTGTGAGGCCTTGGTAAGGCAGAGATGAGTAGGCAAAAGGATGGTTAGATCTAGGGCCTGAGTGATACGAAACCAGAATGGCAGTCTAGCAACTTTGATCACTGTTGAGGTTGCCAAGAATATCAGGTATGGGTCACTGTAACCTGGTTGTAGTCCTTGGGATGATTTGCTGTAACAGAACTTTAGCAAGTATATCAGCAGTCTCCCTGGTTGTGTGAAAGGCTTTTATGTATCCTGAAAAAGTATAAACCAAGTGAGAAGACAAAATTTATCTGCCAATCTTGACCAGGGTTGCCTGAGAAATTGGTGAATAAGAAAGGAAGAGGCAGTCTTATATCACTGAGGAGAGGTTTACTAGTGATATCAGGTGTAAGATGTTGAGGCCTCAGTGTCTGGATCAGCCTGTATAAACATAAGGGAATAAAAAGCATTTTTAAGATTTAGGACTGTAGAGTGAGTGGTGGAGGGAAGATTTGGCACCACTGGGTGGATTGGGAAGAAGCAATCTGGAACCTGCACGAAATAGGCCTGTTTGTAAATGGCATAGGTTGACTGTCAATACCCCTGGAGGCTGAGGATTTAATATAGCAGCCTGAAAACTCAGGAAGAACTCTGTACATATGGCCTCTATGTCCACAAGTATAGAGAATGCCTTACCTGAGACTTTTAGTGGGACTTGGACTCTGAGACGGACACCCATAAAGGGGGCTATTGTTGGCCCTGAGCCCCGTCAGTCTTTAGCAGCAAGTTTAAGCAGATCTGTTGGCGATGAATCTGGCGGTGTTGGCATTTCCTGTGAGGGCTAGCAGTTAGGATGGCTTACCCACTCTGGTGGCTAGGACAGTCCAGTAGCCCTGGGGTAAGGTCTCAAAGGAATGCCAGGATGGGGCACTCTCTTGCCCAATGTCTTCTGCTGCATTTGAGGCATGGTCCATGGAGGAGGGAGGCCAGGCAGCTCCACCTTGTGTCGGTTTACCTGTCTCAGAACTCCAAGTGTCACATGTATTATCTCTTGTTGAAAACATGAAAAACCATATTAAGGTCTCTATGAGGTTTGAATGTCAAGTTTTGCCTTTTTGTTTGGGATTTGGACTATAGTAGAAGGTATCTACCTGTAGAATTAAGTAAGTAAGCAGTAGTCAAATATAATCAACAGGGTATTTATTTATGTCATGTATCTCTTTATGTTATTAAAATGTCTAATGCCATCTGATTTTTGGAGGATGGCCTGTTTAATTAATTTTAGTTGTTAAACATTTAGATTGTACATTTTTAAGTGTATATCTGGATCTGAAAGAAAACATCATGGCTGGAACACAAAAATAGGCAGCAGGAACAATCTGAACTTTATATCTGAAAACATGAATACAACAGATCAGCAACTGTGAATTATCTTAGTCATATGAACTTTAGTTGAGGTATGGAGATTAATGAAGGCTTTAATTGCAGGCTGGTAAAATTACGAGGTGGCCACTTTCCCGTTTAGCAGCCAAAGTCTTGTCTATTGCTGGCTTATTTAACCTTGATTAAATGGTTTGAGAATGTAAAAAAAATAGCATCTCTGAGCTGAGCCGACGAACTGCTGTTTATCTGTTTGTGGTCCAGCGCATGAGCAGAGCCTGCCCAGCGTGGGGGACGGGGCGGGGGGGGGCACGGAGCTGGGATATGGCAGCGCTGGGATCCTGCACACTGGAACCCCTGGGGCTGTTCTGGAGCCTCGTGGATTAGAGTGTTGGCGTTGGAGTTCCCATGTGGACTCGGAGTGCGGCATGAGAGCCGAGATACTGCGTGGAGTTGGGGCGCGGCATGAAAGCTTAAAGCAGTAGGATCTCCCAATACTGTTTGGGCTGGAGCACGCATGAGAGCTTAAAGCAGCCTGCGCGTATCTCTCAACACTGTTTGGGCACATTTTTTTCCCATCTCATTGGGGAAGGGATTAGTGCACGGCAGGAAAGGGGAAGCAGCGAGGAGACAAAGGGACGCTGGTGGGAAAAGGACACACATTCTCAAAACAGAGGCTCAAAGATAGAGAGTTTTGTGAACTTGTCGTCAGTGTGATAAGCCATAGATAGGTATGGGTTTTTGGGGGGAGGGGACAGGAAGTGGTCCCCAAGATAAAATCTGGTGTGGGGTCTGGCCCAGGGAGTTATAGCCAGATGAGGCAATGGACCATGGTCTACTAAGTGTAAGTCGTCACTTTTTGCTCTAGACCGATTGGTATTATATGGTTCCAAAGCTCATAATAACTGGCCATCACCAATATACGAGTGGATTTCTTGTGGGTTTAGTAACAGCCTGCCCATGAGAACTTAAAAAGCTCTGGAGGATGTGAGAGTCTCTCAGTGTGGACACAAGCTGGCCCAGGAAAACTCTGCCTTGGGCTATCTGAATCCAAAGGACATGAGAGTCTCCCAGTGTGGACACAGATTGGCCCAGAAAAACTCTGCCTTGGGCTATCTAAGGACGTGAGAGTGTCACATGAACCCATGGAAAGGGGGAGAAAACCCGCCTGGGGCCTGGCCCAGCAGCAGTTTCCAAAGGTTGCTCAC